CAAAAAGTTCATGGAAAAATGGAATTAAAATATAGTTTATCTTGGTTCCAACAGTTTAAAGTCCACCCATTTTTTAAAAAAATATTATTATTATTATTGTTATAATATAGTCAATCACTTTACATCCTTTAACTTGTAAAGAGAATTGACCCAACATGAAATACACCTCAGACCAGTTCAATTGAGAACACTATACGCGTTATCACTGACAGAAAATAAAGCATTTCTGTGCCCCACTGTTGTCTTACCTCTTCATTTTTTCTCCATAATTCACATAGTATTTTTGTCATGTGCATTTTTTAGACACTTTCTTCCTCCTGGAGGGCATGTGTGATCATCAGAGAGAGAGAGACTATGAGAGGGAATCCGCCCACCACCACCATGGGGAATGGTCATGCTGCAATGTCTTCTCCATTTTTTCCCTCTTTTGGCATTTTTGGGCACACATGCCCTCTGGCAATTTAAAGAGAAAAAAGGGAAAAGTGAAAACATTAGAAATTAAAAAAAAAAAAAAAAGAATCAAAAAATGGCCACCCCACCAGCTGGCCCTTTCATGAACTTCTTGAAGACCTGTCATGTTGTAATCGGTACTGAATGGGTGTTGTGTGAAGGTCTGTGTTGGACCGAAGATACACGAATGATGGTTCTCATCCACGCAGGTATCACGGTACTGATATGCAGGGCAGGAATCACATGACTCTGTGATCTCCCATGAAAACAGCACTCTCAAATGCTCTCCATTTTATTTGCCAAAAACAATTACTTGCTTTGGGGTCAGTTCTTCTTATTACATTTGACCAAACCAGTACAGTATAATCACACATCAATGTCCACAGGAACATAGTATAGATTATTGCTCTTCACCTCTAATAGCTGCATGTTTATAAATTTAGTAAGAAAAAGTTTACTATTGCTGTAATAGTAAAATCTTAATCTGTATATAAAAATTTAATTTTCAGGGAATATTTAGAGAAATAATGTGAAGAAAAAGGAAAAGTGCCAGACTAGAAGTTCCACAGGACCCCTTTTGTTAAGCGTAAGAATGGATTGATATGGGGAACCAGCAGTTAGCGTAATGGCTATGTCACTGGACTCCCACATAGTCGACTGCGGTTCGTGTCCCGAACCCGGTGGCTTAAAACTCACGCCGGGCGCGTGTGCGTGCGTGCCCAAGATCCCGAGAGGAGAATGGAGGAGAAGGGATTGCGGCGTGACCATCCCCCCTGGGGGGTGATTTCTCGCTTTCTGTCTCTATGTCTCTCTCTGTCTGGCGAGCGCCCGCCCCCGACAGTGAAAAATCTCTCAAAAAAAAAAAAAATGGATTGATATGTTGTAAAGACAGACACTTGTGACTAAATTTCAATTCTACCAAGTCTATTTCTCTATTAAATCTGAGCAAATAGTATTGCCTTTTTATACTTTTCTTTCATCTTAACATATTTAATTAAGCAATAATTATTTTAACATACTTACACAGTCCATAAATTTTACATGATTAAGCTGTTATTTTTTTATTCAGGTTTCCAGAAGTAGAGATTTCATATGTCTAGCAACACAAATGGAAACATAGCTTCATCAATTTTTGAAAAACCTAAACAAGGACCAGCAGATGGCATAATGGTCATGTCGCTGGACTCCTACAAGGTCAACCACATTTAGAGTCCTGGACCAGGCAATTAAAATTCACACTGAGCACATGTGCATGCACGTCCAAGATCCCAAGAGGAGAATAGAGGAGAAGGGATTGCTGCATGGCCATCCTTGCTATGTTATAGTCTACTCAGCGAGAAATAAGAGGACATCCAGACAGCCAAATTTATTGGAGTTTATTGATAAAGCCAGTGGCATGGGGGGGGCGGGTTTCATGTCTCTCAAAACCCTGCAGCCCCGAGTGAAAAGGGAATGGAGCTTATATAGGCCAAAAATGCACAGTCATGTCTGGGATGACCTGAGGATTCAGAGGGTAAGGTGTAGTGGGCTCAGATGGGGAAGAAGGGCACGGGGTAGGGTTTTATCAATGTAAAAACAAAAGCATAGAAGTCAGAAAAGCAGGTTAATGCTCCTTCAGGGTAGGTTCCATCTCTGCCTAAATGCAATAGAATTTTAATGGTCTTCACAGCCCAGGGCAAGGGGTCTGGCTGAGGATTATATCACTAAGGAACACTTCAGGGCAGTTAAGAGGAGTGGGGTTTAAAGACAATAGGAATGCCAATTACTCTGTTTACTCTTGGGCACAGAGGAAAAGGCAAGTTTCTAGTCGTAGGAATCCAAGAATTTATAATGGAGGTGCTCTTCCAAGATGGAGTCGCTCCTGCTTCATTCCCCACTTCTCTTGGAGGTGCTCCTCCAAGATAGGGTTATGCCCCCTTCAGCTGATGAGTGATTTCTCGCTTTCTGTCTGTCTGTTTCTATCTCTCCAAAGCTCACATACCCTATAGCAAAAATCTCTCTCAAAAAAACATAAATAAATAAATCTAAACAATCATCCCGTAACAGTATAAAAATGTCAAAAGGATGTGAATACAAATAAAACAACTTCTTTCAATTTGTCTTCTGCTGCTAGGTATTCTATAGATGTTTACTATTTCTTACATTTGAATTTATTCTATTTAATAAATAGATATTGAATAAATAACCTAGCTTAACTATTTTAAAATAGTTAAGCTAGGTTTTACTAACATTGAATATAATCTTGTGTTCCTCTATGGATCATCCTGTTTTTGCTATAATCAGAAACAACAGTATCTTTGCCAGGTGTAAGTTAGCTCTGGTCCAACGGTCCTTAGTCTGCAGATCATATGCTAAACAAATTTTGGACTTATCACTTGATTTGAATTAATTGAATTACTTTAAAATACTCCAGATATTTTCCAAGATAAACATATGGCTTAGCTAAACCTAAGGGAAAAGGAAGCAGGCTTACTTTTTTATTGTAATTGCAGAAATGAATTTTTTGATTGTGGCAGAAAGAAGTGAGTCGTGATAAGGGATTATAGTAGTTTCTGTACATCTATATGACCTGCTATCGTTTTTATACAGCTGGTCTCACTTTACATAATAAATGTGTTCTTTACAATGAGTGGAATTACTTTTAACAATCAAGTTTCAGTTTAGATATATTAGCAAAGTCCGTTTTTAAAAGAAAACATGTGTCAGGGTCAGCAGATGGTGTAGCAGTTACATTGCTGGACTCTCACATGGTTGACCACGGTTTGAGTCCTGGACCCGGCAGCTTGAAAATCACACTGGCCATGCGTGTCTGCTTAAGATCCTGGGAGGAGAATAAAGGAGAGGATTGCAGCTTGGGCACCCCCCTGGGGGATTATTTTTCACTTTCCCTCTCACTGTCTCTGTCTCTGTCATGAGCTAGTGCATGCACTCTAAGGCAAACAAACCAAACAAAAAAACAACTCTCTAAAGAAAAGAAAACAAAATGTATGTGTCTGTGTGAGTTGTATGTGTGTCTTTGCTCAGTGTTTTATATGTAGTTAGTAAGTCCCCAAAATACCATTGGGGAAAAAAAAAAAAAAAAACCCTTAAAGTCCTCGTGTTTACACGGATGCAAATTCCACATCCTGAGTTCCAAAGAGTTTTTGTCCAACTTACCTTTGAGAGCACTTGTGTGTTGACATTGGCTTAGAAGTGATTTACTCCCTGTTGCTAAAGATGGTATTGAGGGAGCTTTTCATAGAATGCTCATATCCAGAATGCAAACCGCGTGAAGGCAGGTACTGTTCTGCTTGGCCCCTGAGATGTTTCAGCCTCTAGAACACTGCACTGTACACAGCGCATATTCAAGGACTAGTTGTTGAATGAGTGAACGGACCATTTATCCTCAGGTTTTAGATTATAAAATGAGAACGTGGGCAGTTACAAGTCTGAGACAGGTGGTGGCTAAAACACGATTTTCATTTAGGTTCATAATGTGATAGTATTGTCCAATCAAGTTACTACTGAGTTCTAATTAGTAACAAAAATCAATATGTAACAGAGTTATACCTCAAAAGGGAAATTTCAAACAAGCATGTTTTTACTCTCTATACTTTCTACATGAACAAATCTATGAGGATGGTTTCTAGAGCATTTCCGCATGAGGTAGACAGTCAATTGTATTACAGGGAATTCTCATCCACTCTAGGACATTTAGTAAACGCCCTCCGTCATCCGTTTGCTGGGCAGGGGGGCCTTCACTGTGCACACATGACCGCCATGTTTCTCGTCTCTGGGTGTTGCCTGCTGTGGCAGACTTCGGTAAAACAGAAAACACAGAGACATATTTTTGAAAAGCCAAGTGAATACATCAAGGCACAAAATTAATTTGCCTTGTTGTAAGTGATTTAAATAAAATAAATGGAGGGAGTCAGCAGGTGGCGTGGTGATTAAGGGTGCTGGACTCCCACATGGCCAATTGCAGTTCGAGTCCCAGACCTGGCAGCTTGCTTTCTCACTTTCTCTCTCTATTTCTGGTCAAGTTAAAGTAAATAAATAAAGTTAAATAAAATAATTCTTTAAAATTTAAAAAAAAATAATTGGGGAGATGGGGAGTTTGGGGATTGAATGATTCTATAGCTACAGTGATCAGAAAACAGAAAACTTAAAGAGAGAATGTGTCAGTTAAGGTCTGAAAGGTGCGAGTGACATGTAAAAAGAAACTTCTCCAAGGGAATAGTCTGGAATTTCTGCCAGGCAAGCACGTGTTACATTGCAAGAGGAGGGAGAGGAGTTACCTCATCCTCGAGGTGCACCACTCAGTAGAAATGGAAATACTTGCAGCTGATAGTTATTCACTGATCTAAATGGAAATATCTCTATACTCTCAGGAAATAATTATTGGGCACCCCTGTGTTTTATATCATTCAGCTGGTGTTTTAATGTTAAAATAACTGCCTAATAAATAAAAATGTAGAATTTTGGTAACACCCAGATAGATATAATTGTCTGTGAGTTTTGGCTATATTCTACTTTCTATTTGATTTGTTTGTTTTATACATGTTTCCCAGGATAGTCCACTGGTCTTACAGTCTGACAGGAATGTAACAGTGAATGCAAGAAATCACATGGGGCAGTTGACTGGACAGCTGACCGTCGGTGAGTGTTCGGGGCAAAGACTCGCATGCCATCCCCTCCATTCCAAACTCGGTGGTCGTTGAAACTGGACAAGTAAAGTATGCTATCTCTCGGATGCACAACTTCATATCCCATTAGCACTCATTGAACTTGCGTGGGATTTGATATACTTAAGGCTAGTTATGGTCTCCTCCACTTAGTAGTTACTACTCTTGACAGTGTGTTTTTCTGGGACCGAATTACATTTTTTTTTGCTGTTCACTACTTTTGAAATATGAAATGCATATTTTCCTAACAAATAATTCTATAGCTTATGTTAAAGTATAGTAAATAAAATTAAACAAACCCAAGATAATATAACATTATAAGGTCTATGTCTCTTTAATTTTAGAGAAAGAATTTTCTTATTACTATTATCTGCTTATCTTATTAATATGATCTGCTAATCTAAATAGAAATTTCATAATAGCTGAGAATTGTAATCCTTACTATTCATAAATTTGATGCTGACATTTTTCCATATTTTAAGTTTTATAGTCTTCAAAGGTTGCAAATATAAGTTAATGATAAAGTACTACTCATTTTTCTCATATCAAATATTTTGAGCTAGAGGATCATATTATATCATAATATAAGCCATCATTATTTGATTCATGGTTTAAGAAGGCAAATAAAATTTTAGTTGTAACTTTATACAATTATATGAAGATTTGATATGCCTATATATGCTAAAATACTTTTGGAATTCTTTCTTGGTTCTGTGGGAAAATTCCTGCCGTGACTTTATCTATCTATATCTATCTATCTACAGAGAGAGAGAGAAAATTATAATTTTGAGGACTAAGCTATCTTTACTTTAGTGAAAAATTAGTCATTTAAATGTAAACACGTGTTTCTAATAGTTCTCATTAACATCTACGAAAAGATGACATTTGAAATGTGAGATTTATAAACATACATTTTGAGTCTTGTGTACTTCTTTGTATGTATATTAAACACTTTTTGATGTTATTTGCTTCAATAAAGCCAGAAAAGAGAAGTCTTAGCACATCTGTGTTTTAAAACTACAGTAATATTTTATTTATTATTATTTTTTTACTTTACATTATAAATGTTTGCCACTATGAGAGCAGTAGATGGCATAGTGGTTATGTCGCTGGACTCCCATATGGCCAACTGCAGTTCAAGGCCTGGACTTGGCAGCTTCAAACTCATGCTGGGTACATGTGCGTATGTGCCCAAAATGCCAAGTGGAGAATAGAGAAGGAATTGCCGTGTGACCATCCCTCCGGAAAGTGATTTCTTGCTTTCTGCCTCTCTGTCTCTGTCTCTGTCTCTCTGGCAAGTGTATGTGCCTGTAGGAAAAAATATCTCTCTAAATAGGGTTTTCCATTAGGTATTAATTGATTCGGATGGCTAGCTATTACTTTGCAGTAAATAGAAAAGCGCCTGTTACAAAGGAGAGCCAAAAATAAATGGATCAAATATGCCTATGAATAGAGAGCTGATTTCTGAGCATCAGGTTTTCAACTTAATCATTCATGCCAATTCACTATTGCTTTGTTAAAATCGCAGCTACAGGTCTGCAGAAAAAAGCCTAACCTGGGTAGATTTTCCACATCGTAATTATCTTTCATTTGAGAACTCTGTAAGTAGATAGAACTTTCTTTTGCACTCAGTTCTTGATATTAATTAAGTCCTTGGTTAAGAAGTTACAATGTAAATTAAGCACTCAAATACTATACACCACTGTCCACTCCCAAACACGATAGCTCCATAAATCCTGTCTGTGGAATTATGCAGCTGTGTGGTTCCCTGGAGTATAATCACACACCGGCTCATCACTGCACGCTTTTCTACGGGAAGTTTAAAAAATATATAGTGCTTATATTTTCAGTTGCCTTTCCAAACTGATTATATTTGGCATTAATATTTGCCAGAGGCAAAAAGCAAGAGGGAGAGAAAAACGTGGTGTTCATGCAGAGAATCGTAAGTTAATGGTCCAGCAGTTTGTTTCTGTGGATAGGAATGCACTTCACTGAGGCATGAACTTAAAACCGTGTAATAGTTCAAGCTCTGGGTGTGCTGCTGACAGTCTGTCTTTTCACAACTTTGCCTTTTTCAATAAGCAGAAAGGAACTCAAAGATGCAGAATTACGTTAGAGTTGGAGAGAGCACATACCAACATTTGAAGTATTCCTATGGGAATACTTAGTAGTTTGATGGGCTGCCGGAGAACAGTTTATGTTTCAGAGCCTCAGTTTTCTCATCTCTAAGTTGGGGACAATGACATTTACTTGGACCGCTGCTAAGAACTGAGAGTTCAGTGTCCGCAAATAGCCTCCAGTTATATCCTGAACCTGTCACTTCTTTAAGGATGGTGATTGTAACTATTTGCATGGCTAAAATTTCACGTGGCTGCTGTCATGTAAGGGACCTCATGATAATCTTCTATTCACATTAGCTCTGTGACGGTAGGGATACGTGTTGGATTATGACATTTCTGCACAGATGTGTTACAAAACACACAGAAGGTGTAGCTGATGTGTGGACATTTGAGTCACGTGAATATAAACTCACCATTACACAAAATTTGAAGATGTATTTGAATGAATGCAAACAATGTAGACAACTAGCCTTCATTTCTTCCCCCCTAATTTGTTTTAGGATGTGTGTATTCGTTGGAGAGAGACAGAGAGGGAGCGAGAGAAAGCAAGAAGACACCATCCAGTGGGGTGGACCACATTGCAGTCCCTTCTCCTCCATTCTCTTAAGATTTGGGGCATAACCACACGCACACACACACACACACACACACACACACACACACTTTGCGTTTCCCAAGTCGCCAGATTCAGCACTTGTACTGTACATACTGTGTAGTCAGCCACACGGGATCCAACACCTTAACCACCCTCCACCTGGCTGGCCCCCAGCCTTCATTTTTTTTTTCCCTTTTTTTTTTTTTTTTTTGTCGCCCTCCACCTGGCTGGCCCCCAGCCTTCATTGTTAAAGACTAATTTTACTTGCATTGACATATAGTAACTGTTTCAACCCTTTCTTCCTATTTCTTCCTTTTTTTCTTTATTTCCGTGTTCTTAATTATAGTATAGAAATGATACTATTTTGCAACATTTAAAAATATTATTATAGAATGGATAAATAATTGTGAAAACTAACTTTATTCCTCAATTACTACATAAGGCCATTTTAATTTTTATCAACCTATTAATCATTGTTAGAAAAGAGGGTCATGACAGACCTTGGACGCTTTTCAGATGTAATTCCCATTATATGCATGAAAGGAAAATCTGCCTTAACAGTAGATAGTGGGACTGTTTGTTCTTTCCTCGAAATGTACATGTGGGCTCAGCGAAATGAGCATCCATCCCCCTTATACTCTATCATGCTTTCTCCTCGTTCACTGACTTCTTTCCTGCTCATCCGGGTCACAGGAAGATGTGTAACCCTGGGACTGTGCAAACCCAGAACTCTCATTCCAGTCCAGACTCATTCTCAGACTATAAGCAGACTATTTCTAATCTAATAAATGCAAAGAAAATAGTTTATACATATACCAAGTTAAGTATAATCAAAAGTAAATGTCGACAGTTTTAGATTGAGGGTAAAAAATTCAGTTTGACAGAGGTGATTGTGAGCTTACAAATTTTCAGACTTTCTGTTCTATTGGACCAAGCAAGATCAGAATTCCCTCAAAAATCTAAGATTCTAACTTTTTCTAACATTCATAATATCAGAGAAGATGAACAAATTCAACGTCTCTGTCTCGAAATGTCTCTCTTCTTTGAAGAAAACTGAAAGAGAGGAGTAAGACTTTGGTTGAGAAGTGGTTAAAGAAAGTAGAGCAACCCAACAGGTCAGACTGCTTGAGGAAAAAGCAAACCTTTCTTAAGTCTCAGAATCATTCCTCAGGTCAAAATTTTCTATTACTGGATCTATAATTACTATTTTGCTAGCAGAACTTTCTCCTTTTTTTATCTATGACAAAAATGGTACATAAACTTTCAGTGTTACAGGTCCATAAATGATGAGAGCAGGATATTTGTGTAACTTTCCATCGGATATTATAGATAGAAGATGTAAATTATGCACTTTGTAAAGCTTACCTTACTCTGTCCTTACTATGTAATATAAAGAATAAAAATCACTTTTCGGGTAATGGAAGTAAAATATTGTCATGCGCTTTCAATGTAGATTTTATTCATAACCTTAATAATAGCAAGAACGCTGTAGTAATTGGATTTGCAAAAGTGTAATGCGCTTTCCCACAATATCCTGAAGATGATCAGTTCTTTTTTATTTACCAATAAATTTAACTGCATAGAATAATGTGAACACTTTAAGAAGTAGTTTTACAAATATGAATGTTGAATGAGATTGCTCTTTAATAAATCTTTGAGTAAGGTATTAAAATATAGGTTGCTTCTTCTTATAAATACATTTTATTATTACAGAGCATGTAGGGTTTTGGGCTATAAACTAATATAATTTACCTCTTCAAGCCTTTTTATCATTCATTGCTACTTGAACGATAAAAATGAAAGGAGGGTGAACAGAGAACTTGGATAGGGAAGACTCAGTGAGTTTAGCTAGCTCTGGTCTCCATTTGCTTTTAGGTAAGTAGCTCAAGTTTTCATTTTAGACCCAAGCATGGACTTCCAAAAAACCCGTAATGGCTGCTTAGAGGGTCCTACATCATAACGTGACAGGAAGTCCCACAATACCATGTCTAAGCATTTGTCTTAGTAAGTCAGCAGAGCCTGTGGGGTATTAGAACTGGATGTCATTGTTCTGAAAATTCATCTTGAAAGTGTGCTTAAATCACAATTTTTGTACTTCAAATAAAAGCAATATAATTCTCCAATGTAATTCTCCTTGTTTAATGCTCAATAAATTTGGGTGAATGACTTTTTTTAGAAAGATGTTTGCTATAGGAAACGTGTGCTGACTGGAGAAACAGAGAAATGACCTTCCAGGGAGATGACCACGCCACGGTCTCT